TGATGACGATGATGATGATGATGATGATGATGATGACGCTGACGATGCTTGTGGTTGTGGTGATGATCATGATGATTGTGTTGGTGGTTGTTGTGGTGATGATCATGATGATGGTGGTGGTGGTGGCGGTGATACTGATGATGATGCTGATGCGGATGCTGATGCTGATGCTGCTGATGATGATGATGATGATGATGATGATGATGATGATGATGATGATGATGATGATGATGATGATGATGGGGGGGCGTTGACGACGACGATGATGACGATGCTGATGATGCTGATGATGCTGATGATGGTTATGATGCTGATGCTGCAGCAGCTGATGATGATAATGATGATGATGATGATGATGATGATGATGATGATGATGATGATGATGATGATGATGATGATGATGATTGTGATGTTGTTGTTGGTGGTGGTGATGACGATGCTGATGCTGCTGCAACTGATGCTGCTGCTGATGATGATGATGATGTTGGTGGTAGTGGTGGTAGTTGTGATGCTGATGCTGCTGTTGATGATGATGGTGGTCTAGGTGACGATGATGCAGCTGCTGCTGCTGATGTTGATGACGATGGTCTTGATGATCATGATGTTGATGATGATACTTATGATGATGATGATGATGATGATGATGATGATGATGATGATGATGATGATGATGATGATGATGATGATGATGATGATGATGATGAGGATGCTGCTGATGATGACGACTATAACGACGATGATGATGATGATGCTGATGCTGATGCTGATGACGATGATGTTTATGATTACGATGGTGATGCTGCTGATGATGGTGATGCTGCTGATGATGGTGATGATGCTGATGATGATGATGATGGCGATGCTGATGCTGATTGTGGTGGTGGTGGTGGTGGTGGTGGTTGTGACGCTGATGATGATGCTGCAGCTGATGACGACGACGACGATGATGATGAGGAGGTGGAGGAGGAGGAGGAGACGAATCCAGACGAGGTGAAGCTGCAGTACGGAGGATCCAATACGGGGGGAAATGGGGAAGGACATACAAGACATGTGTGAAGAACACGGCGGGGGGCGAAGGGGGACTGGGAGGAGGGGGACCAAAGCAATTTCAGGATGCATCTGCGATTTGGCAACACACCCTTCTGTCTCAAATCGCCTTCTCACAAGTCCCCTGCAAGCCTTCCTTTCCCCAACGCTCCCGTGGAAGACGAGTATCCTATGGGCCTATGGGCCTGCCGTTCAGGAGATAGTCCCGTCTTGAGCAGATTCCAAAAAGGCTTACGCCACATCCGCCTACCCCCTCAATGAGTTTCCCTCTGCTTCGTGTTTGCCCTTTCCTCCTAAGGTCCGCGTTTGCAGAGAAGGCTCACTTCGCACGTGCCAAGACAACTTTCACTCTGAGATGCAGGTCGTGCTCGGGATGTCCGTAGTCGTCGTGTCGGTGATTGCAGTTGCGCGGTCGGCAGTTGTCGGCGCTTTGCAGCCTCGCGGAGAGCGACGAGAAGGGGGGGAGGAGAATGGGGAATGCAGAAGGAAGAGGATGAGGAAAGAGAAATGAGGAGATGGAAGGGAGGAGGAAAAGGAGGAGACGACGGAGGACGGGAAAGAGTGGGACGAGGAGGATGCGATACGATGCGATGTGACCACCGATGCGGACAGTGTCCGGGCCTAGCTCAGACCAGGTGGGTGAGGCCGTGGCCTCGAGAATTTGGCTTGCCTGGATACATGCAATGCGAGACACATACAAATTTAGGAGGAGTAGGAGGAGGAGGAGGAGGTGGAGGAGGAGGAGGAGGAGGAAGTCCTTGGTGTCGGTGTTGGCGCGGGCTGGGCGTGTCGTCTCGGCTTCCTCTGAGCGTTCACTTTATGGGTCTTGGTCCTGGGTTTTTCCTGTGTCAGGTGGGTGTAATGGTGCCCGACAGCCATCCATGTTTTTGTGTCCTGGGCTGTTTGCGTCCACGTGATGTTCTTTGGTTGTCCTCTCGATTTGGTATGTGTGGATGGTCGGTGGAGGTCTGGTTTGCGTTTATGTGTGTATGCGTTGATTAGGTCGTCCCAACGCTTGCGTTGGGCTGCCCTTCTGCCTCTATTCTTGCTGGCAGCGGTTGAGGTCTGGTTGCTAGCGTAGGACTCGTCATGTCCACTTTGTTCGGTCGTCGTTTGCGACTCTTGAAACCATGCGCCATACTTGTCGCTTGTATACTGTCACCAGTGAAGGTGAATGTATTCGACTCAAGGCTCCAACGGGTCTGCACTCGTGTGCTGTCTTCGCCGCTGTCGCTGTGCATGTCGGGCGTGCCTTCTGTGTTCGCGCTAAAGTGGGTTGCTGGAGGAGAAGGAGGACAAGGATGAGGAGGCGAAGGAGGAGGAGGAGGCGGAGGAGGAGGAGGAGGAGGAGGAAGAGGAGGAGGAGGAACAGCAGGAGGAGGAGGAGGAGGAGGAGGAGGAGGAGGAATAGGTGGAGGCGCGGCCGAGCGAGGGTCACCCGAGTGCGACGGGAAGAGGGAGCGGGTTGGTCGCAAAGTGTCGGAGCTGGGGCAGGGGAGGGACGGGATTGGTTGTGCAGTGTCGGAGCTGGTGTGTGTGTGTGTGGGTATGACTGTGTGCGCGCGCCTCCTCCCTCGCGGCTTGCGCCGCCTCCTCCCTGCCGCTGCTCGGCTGCGGCTGCTGCCCCGCCGCTGCCCTGTGAGGGCCCAGCCACTTCCTTCCTAGCCGCCGCCGCGCGCGCGGCGGCGGACTTTGAACGAGTTGGCGGAGCGCCGCCCCGCGAATGCCCAGCAGTGTGCTTGTGTGCTTGTGTGCTTGTGTATGTGTGTGTGTGTGTGTTTGTGTGTGCGTGCGTCCGTGTGCGTGTGTGGGTGGGGTGGTGGGGGCAAAGGGATTGGTTAGGTCGAGAGTCCCACGCGTCGGGAGGCCCAGAACAGAAGGCTGGTGGACAGGATGCACTTGCGAGTTTGTTTTTTCTTTTTGTTTGCGGGGGCCCTCATGCATGTATGCTTTGGCAGCCTGCGACCCGCCAGTGGGAGCGTGCGGAGAGCACGGGGGCGACCTAGGCACGAGTGGACGACATGTTTATACGAACAAGCCGCCCCGCGCTTCGCTTCTGAAGCCGCCATGCGGAACTGCATTGGCGACGACCGCAGCTGGCGGCATTCCGCTGCGAATTTCGTAATCGATGTGCAAGTTTTAATTCATTACTGCCAGCAGCAAGCAAAGCCTGCTGCCATGTTCCGCCTACGCGCCGGGCGGCGTTCGGCTCCTCTGTCTGTCCGTGGCAGTTCCGCCACCGCGCCGGCGCAGCACTCCTGCCGGCAACCACCCCTGGGAGACGCCATGGCCGCCCAGGGACCCCCTGGAGCCGGGGGTGGGGCACGCAGCTGGGTGCGACGAGCGGGGTGGGTGTGCCCCTTAGAAGACTGCAGAAGCCCTGCCAGACAGCACAGTGGCGCCTCGGCAGACGGCAGTCTGCATTCCTTACGCCTCAACGTGCCGGGAGGCACGGTGGCGGATTTTAGCTTCTTGGATTCGAGCTTTTTGGAGGCCCCATGGGGGCCTCCTTTGAGCCTCTTGGGGGCCCAGTGGAGGTCCGCAGGGCCCGTTTTGAGCTTTTTTTTCGGGGGCCCCTTAAGGGACATGTCGGGGGCCGTGGGGGGGAAGGGCTGGACCTGTCGGTGGGTGCTCCTTTGCCTGGACCTCTCTTGTATTTTTTTTTGACCTCTCTTGTGGTTTTCCTGGCCAGGACAGGTGATGATATTCAACGGTGGTTCCAGGCAGTGTGCCAATCTGCAGCCAGCGTGGGTCTGGAGATGCACTGGGGCAAACTACAACTGCTGAGGATTCGCTGCGATGGGGTCGTCCGCAGGCCCGCGGGGGAAGTCATCGAGGCTAAAGGCATGCTGTCCGACCTGGGACCACAATCAGCAGCGACGGGCGAGCGAGTGGCGAAATAACGAGACGGATGGGCATGGCGTTCGCCGCTTTCAGAAGCATGAAGCAGCTCTGGGCCATACTTCTGTCTCCTTAGACAGGAAAATGGAGCTGTCCAACGGTATTGTGATGTCCAAGCTGCTGTGCAGCCTCAGCGCCGTCTGGTTGAATGCTGCAGAGCGGAGGCGTCTGAATGGAGCACAGGCCCGCATGTTGAGAGATATCGCTGGGGAGGAGGACCACTGTAAGCCCAATATTCATCAACGATGTTGAAATACACCCTCTCTCCAAGCTCCTCTTTCATAGGCCATTACAAGGGTTCATTGCCACTGAGGGAATTGCCCCGTTGGGGGGTTATACCGTGTGAAAATCCGGGAGCATGCCAAAACACCATTCTCGGGACTTCAACGCCACGGGTTAACCTGACTGTTACGTCTTGGCGATCCTGATTCGTGCCAGAACACAAATCCTGGGACGTCAACACCTTGAATCAACGTAGCTGTTGCGCCCTGATAATCCTGAATCGTTCCAGCAGACCATTTCTGGTACGTTAATAATCATTCGAACATGTGAAACCGTTATGGGTTTCAAAGCGAATGTGTGCGGCGTTCAGGCGAGAGCTACATTTTGAGAAGGAGCCTCCTTGAATCCGTGAAGCGCTTGAGAGTCACATTTTGAAAAGGAGCCGCCCTCAATCCGTGCAACTCTTGCAGATATTGAAAACGAATGTGCGCGGCGCTTGGGCGAGAGCCATGTTGAAAACGGCCCGCCCTCAATCCGTGAAGTTCTTGCAAATGTGTGCGTGGCGCTCAGACAAGAGCCACATTATGAAAACCACCCGCCCTTCCTCAGTGTTTTTTTCAGTTTCATCATCATAAGTGGAATGGAAATCTAAGGCGAAACGTCAGACTCGCCCTTTCGACCGGTATGAGGGTGCGACAGGGAAGAGTTATCTACAAGAGAAGGAATGGAAGAGGAGGAGGAGAAGGAGGAGGAGGAGGAGTAGCAGGAGGAGGAGGAGCAGGAGGAGGAGGAGGAGGAGGATGAGAAGGAGGAGGAGGAGGAGGCTCGGTGGCCAGGCTCCTGGCGGCGATGGCCGCGACGGTGGCCGCCCGTGCCACGTCCAATTCGCTGCGCGTTCCGCTGGGAGGCGCTGGCCGCCGTGTGGGGGGACGGGGGACGGCCGCCGCAGCACGTGTCTCACGTTGGAGGATGGAGTCGGTCAAGGTCAGGAGGGAAAGAAAGGCACAGACAGAAATACCCGTCGAATCCCATGCAAGTGTGGGAGAATATCGGGAGGGGAGGGGAGTAAGGTCCCAGACGTGCACGCGTCGTAGCAAAGAGTGCAACGGCAGATTTTTGGCCGTTGTCGTTCTCCCGGGGCCCTCCCTGGGCCCTGGGGCCATCAAACACGATTCGGGATGAAAGGCAGACCCTGGGGAAAGGGTCGTGACTTCTGGGGACCGCCCGGTGACTTCAGGGTACCGTCGCAGCGCGGCCGCCGCCGCATGTCGCACGGGAAGATGGAGGAGGCAAGGATGGATGTAGGGACGCAGGTAGGGAGGGTCGATTCCCTCAGCAAGCAGTCGATTCTGCGTCAAGGATTTCAGTCTGCTGCTCGGCCACCGAGTTGTACTTGGAGGGCATTGCTGGCAGCAACCGTTTCCCCAATTGGCTTTGGACGGTACTTGTATGCAGGACCCCATGTTTTGTGATGTGAAGCGAAGGCCATTGCCCTCGACGAATCTATCGAGAACGTGGCGCGCTTGGTTGCCTAAGGCACGCGGCTGTCAGATTGCTAATTTAGGCTCCGGCGAGAGAAAGAAAGGAATAGGAGTGGTGGGAGGCTGGGAGGGTCAAGGAAAGGCAGACGGCATACACATGAATTTTCGTAGCTCCACGCGGATTTCTTGGATCGGCGTCTGGTCCTTCCCCGCGGCGCCTTGGGCGCCGCCCCTGCCGCGCTCCGCGCGCGATTGAGGGGGACCAGCGTCGATCCAAAAAATCCTCGCGGAGCTCCGAAAGTTCATGTTTATGCTGCTTCTGTTCCTCTAGAAGGGGAGTGAGGGAGGGACCCTGAGATCCTAGCGTTGCTTCTTTTCGCACTGGCGTTTTCGTCTAGTTTCGGGCCAAGGTACCCTCGCAAATCGATCCGGCTCGAAAAATGCAGCAGAAGGATGGGTTCCACGGTTTTGGTAGTGATTTTTGATGATGATGATGATGTTACAATTATTTCGCGACGTCGGACCTCAGGGATTGGTGAGGATGGAGGAGGGGGAGGAGTAGGGAGCGGCTGTAGCGGCGGGAAAGCCTGGGGGGCAGGATAACGATTGGGAGGAGAGTGTTGGTGGAAGGTGAGTAGTAGAAGGCGGAGGAGGATGGAAGAGGAGGATGAGACATCTGTACAGGCGAGCAGTACGGAGGAGGGGGAAGAGGATAACACATCGCCGACTACCTTGGGAGACAATTGCCGACCACCCTCCACACTCAGGGCGACACGCTCGCCGAGCAGTCTTTGTTCCATGTGATCGTCGTTCTCAGTGCCTTCTTGCATCAATCACCGCCGCCGCTCCGCGAATTCCGTGACCCTCTTCCGGTACACCGCGGGCCGCTCGATGTCGAAGCCGATTTCGCCCCAGACATTTGATGTCCTGAGTCCTTCAATGCACGGTCCTCGAGGGATGAGTGAGGAGAAATGGAGGAGAAGGAGGAGGAGGAGGACTACCAGTGTAAACCCAAGACCCATCAACGGTGTTGCAATAAACCCTCCCTCTAAGCTCCCTCTTCATATGCCCCTACAAGGATTCGATTTCACTGAGGGAGGTGTCCCGTTGGAAGACAAGCATTTGAAAATCCCGGACCGTGCCAGGGCACCACTCCTGGGACTTCAACGCCACGAATCAACCTTAGTTATGAGTTTTGATGATATCGTGCCAGAACACAATCCCTGGGACTTCAACACCGCGGACCAACGTAACTGTTGTGCCCAGACAGTCCAGCATCATTGCCAACCGAATCTGTGAAATCGTTGCAAACTCTTTAGGCGAATTTGCGCGGCGCAGCCACATTTTGAAAAGTTACCGCCCTCTACCCGTTACACTTTTGCAAACTTCCCAAAACGAATGTGCGTGGCGCCTCGGCGAGAGTCACATTTTCGAATGGAGCCGCCCGCTATAATGCATGAAATAATCGGACAGTTTTAAGACGAATTTGCGTGGCGCTGAGGCGAGAACCACATTTGGAGTTTGGAATGGAGCCGCCCTCCATTCGTGAAGCTCTTGCAAAGTTTTAGGATGAATGTGCGCACCGCTTAGGCGAGAGCCACATTTTGAAAGCGATCCGCTCTCCATCCGTGAAGCTTCTGTGCAAATGCCAAGCTGAGGGATCATATTGTAATGGCCTCCAGCCAGTGCCGCCGATCCAGGGAGCTCCGGATTCGGTGATCTTCGCGGCTCGGTGGCCTCCTCCCTCCCTCGATTCTTCCGGTCCCCTTTCTTCTCCCTAGTTCTCGTTATCCTCTGCCTCCCGCTGAGCGGTCCGGGGGGGGTCCGGGGAGGGTTCGAGGGGAGGGTTGTGGGGGCGGAAGCGGCTAGATCTGAGGGGGGTCCCTGGGACCCCCCGAAACATCTTGGAGATGCGCAATTCATGAAGAAAGCGCGAGATGGGGGACCGCCCCCCCCCTCCCCCCCTTCCCCGGCAGAGCCACCCCAGCGACCCCACCCAAGCAGAATCTGAGGGGGGTCCCTGGGACCCCCCGAAATATTTTGGGGATGCTATAATCAGGTAGACAACGCCATACGGGGGCCCACCCTCCCCTCCCCCCCTTCCCCGGCAGAGCCACCCTGGTGACCCCCCCCAATCAGAGCTGAAGCTCTTTCTTGCTTAGGCTCAGAGCTGAAGCTCTTGCTGAGGCTCCTTGTAGTTCCTGCGCCGGATCGGCGGATATATTGAGGAAGTCTCAGGCGAACCGCCTGGACCACTCTAACGAAGCGTCTCGGGGTGCGACAGAAGGATTTATAAGGAAAAAGAATGCAGGAGGGAGAGGAGGATGCGGAGGAGGCGGAGGAAAAGGAGGAGGAGGATAAGGATGAGGAGGACCGGAGTAAACCCAAAGTCCATGAAAGATGTTTCAACAAACGCTCATTCCAACTCCCTCCATAGGCTCCTAGAGGGGTTCATTTCCATTGAGGGAAGTGCCCCGTTGGGGGGTAACCGTTTGAAAATCCAGATCTGTGCCAAGACATTTATTTTAGGGATTTCAACGCCGCGAATCAACCTTAATGTTGCGTCTTGACGATCCTGAGTCGTGCCAGAACACTTCTCTTGGCATTTCCACACCGCGAATCAACGTAATTGTTGCGCCCTGACAATCTGACATCGCTCAAAAACACAAGTTCTGGTACGTTAAGTCTGAGAAGCAGTGAAACTTTGGCAGTCGTTTAACACGAATGTGCGCGTGTCTAAGGCGAAAACCACATTTTGACAAGGAACCGCCCTCCATCTGTGAAATTCTTGCAAGTTTATGAGACGAGTGTGGCGCCACTACGGCGAACGCCACATTTTGAAAACGACCTGTTGCCGATCCGTGAAACTTTTTTTCCCAACAAGTTTTATGACGATTTTTCGAGCCGCTACGGCGAAAACCATCTTTTTAGAAGGACCCGCCCTCAATCCGTGAGACTACTGCAAAGTTTGGAAACAAATGTGCGGGGCGCTCAGGCGAGAGCTACATTTTGAAAACGACCCGCCCTCAATCCCTGAAGCTCTTACACATTTCTGAAGGCAATGTGCGCGGCGCTCAGGCGAGAGGCACATTTTGTAAGCGACCCGCCCTCCTGTGAAACTGCGAAGTCTCAGACGAAATGCCCGGCCCGTTCTTCCGACCAGCCTCGGGGCGCGACAGAGAGAAGTTATTTACAAGGAGGAGGAGGAACAAAAAGGAGGAGGAAGAGGAAGAGGAGGAGGAGGATGATGAGGAGGATGACGAGGACGAAAGGGAAGAGAACGGGAGTGTAAGGACGGTGACCAGGAGGGTGAGCAGGGTGAGGAGGAAGAGGAGGAAAAGGAGGAGGAGGAGGAGGAGGAGGAGGAGGAGGAGGAGAGGCCGGAGGATTGTGGAATGGTACGTCGTTTTGATATGGTTTTTATCGAGTGGAACGCTCCTTCATCTTCGTGAACTTTGATATTTGTTTGCCATTTTTCTGTTCGCCGTGATCCCCTCATAATATGCTTTTCTCGTTATATCGTTAACTCGTGTTCTCTCTCTCTCTCTCTTCGTCTCTCTCTCTCTCTGTCCATCTCCTGCACCAGGCCAATGCATGCCGACGCGACACCAATCCATTGCCAACCAAAGCCCATGCCAATGCAATGTGAATTGGGGAATCTTGTCGCTCGGTGGATGTCAATCAGACTCCTTTGTGGATGGTGCCATTACGAATCTTTGTTCGGCGGAGGATTTCAACAGGAATGCCTCTCTGGAGGGTTTCGATAGGAATCCTCCTGTGGAGGTTTTCACTAGGAATCCTTCTTGTGGGGGGTTCAGTAGGAGTCCTTCTGCGGGGGGAGTCATAGGACTCGCCAGCGCAATGCCGACGCAATGCCGAAGCAGTGCTATCGCAATGCCAAGCCAATGCCAAGGCGATCACAATCCAATGCCAATGCCATGCCAATGGGGGAGAGCCTTGATGGTAGACGTTAAAAAGAATCAGATTTCTGGGAGATTTCAATAGGAATCGCTGTGCGAAGGGAGGCACAAGGACTCGTTAGCGCAATGCCAGCGCAATGCCAAAGCAGTGCCCAATCCAGTGCCAACGAGGGAATCCTTTCGCTCGGTGGATTTCATTCAGAATCCTTTGTGGATGGTGCCATTACGAATCCTTGTTCGGAGGATTTCAATAGGAATGCCTCTGTGGAGGGTTTCGATCGGGATCCTCCTGTGGAGGGTTTCGCTAGGAATCCTTCTTGTGGGGGGTTCAGTAGGAGTCCTTGGAGCCACTCGGACTCGCCAGCGCAATGCCAACGCACTGCCGAAGCAGTGCTATCGCAATGCCAAGCCAATGCCAAGGCGATCACAATCCAATGCCAATGCCATGCCAATGGGGGAGAGCCTTTGTGGTAGACGTTAAAAGGAATCCGATTTCTGGGAGATTTCAATAGGAATCGCTGTGCGAAGGGAGGCACAAGGACTCGTTAGCGCAATGCCAGCGCAATGCCAAAGCAGTGCCCAATCCAATGCCAACGAGGGAATCCTTTCGTTCGGTGGATTTCACTCAGAATCCTTTGTGGATGGTGCCATTACGAATCCTTGCTCGGAGGATTTCAATAGGAATGCCTCTGTGGAGGGTTTCGATAGGGATCCTCCTGTGGAGGGTTTCGCTAGGAATCCTTCTTATGGGGGGTTCAGTAGGAGTCCTTGGAGCCACTAGGACTCGCCAGCGCAATGCCAACGCAATGCCGAAGCAGTGCTATCGCAATGCCAAACCAATGCCAAGGCGATCCCAATCCAATGCCACTGCAATGCCAATGGCGGGGAACCCTTTGTTATACATATATTTATATATAGTTTAAACGGAATCTTGCTTGTGGAGGGTTTGAATAGGAGTCGTTTTGCGAAAGGGGGGCATTATGACTCGCCAGCGCAATGCCAACGCAGTGCAAGGGAATGCCAAATCAACGGCACGGCGATCCAAACTTAATGCCAATGCAACGCGATTGAGGTGGATTGGCTGTGATAGCGTTCGGTATCAATCCTTCTAAGAACCCTTTTGTGGATGATGTCATCCACAACGGAATCCTTCTAAGGACCTTTCTTCGGAGGATTTCAACAGGCATCCTTCTGTGGAGGGATTCGCATGGAACCAATCTGTGGGATATTGTAAGGTGAATCCTCATTGTGGGGGGTCCGTCGGCATAGTTCTTGTGGACGTATTCAATCGGAATCCTTGTGTGGAGCGTTTGGTTGGGACTCGCCAGCTCAATGCCATCGCAATGCCAACGCACTGCCGTCGCAATTCCAACGCAATACCAATGCGATGCCAAATTGTTATCAAACCAATGCCAATGCACTGCCGATGGCATGATTCCAGTAATTCAACATATGCCACACAAATCATCAGGTGTATGGTTTGGTTGCGGATCCTTCTTCGGAGGATGTCGATCGGAATCTGGGTGTGGAGGGTTTCGTCAGGAACCCTTCTGTGGAAGGTTTGACCATGAACCCTTCATGTGGGGGCTTTCAAACGGAACCCTTCGTGTGGAAGGTTTCAATAGGAATCCTTCTATGGTGGGTGCCATGATACCTCGCCAGCGCAACGCCAAAGCAGTACCAACGCAATGCCAAAACAATGCCATGGCAATCCCAATCCAATCCCAATGAAATGCCTGGGGGAAACCGTTGGTGGTCGGTTTCAGCAGGACTCCTTCTATGGAGGGTTTCGAATGGGTTCAAGATGAACCCTTCGTGTGGAGTGTTTCAATCGGAATCCTTCCTGTGGGGGGTTCAACAGGGATCATTCTGCGAAGGGGGAATGCCAGCGCAATGCCAAAGCAGTGCCAACGCAATGCCAACCTAATGCCAATGTCAATGCAATGCCAATGGGGGGAAGAGCATGTGTGATAGATTTCAGTCGGGATCCTTCTGTGGAGGGCTTCGCATGGAGTCCTTCTGTGTAGGGTTTCGATACGAATGAACCCTTTTTGTGGAGGGTTTCAATAAGGGTCCTTCTGGTTGAGGGTTTCAATCTGAGTCCTTTTGTGGAGGGCTCCAGTAGGACCCGCCAGCGCAGTGCTTGCGACGTGCACGCGCAATGCCAACGCACTGCCAAGCGCGATGCCAACGCAGTGCCAATTCGATGCCAAACCATGGCCAAACCAATGCCAATGCAATGCCAAGCGGGGTATCTCTTTCTTTCGAAACATCTCAATAGCAAACAACTGTATTCTGGGGGAAGGAGGAGGATGAGGAGGGCGGGGGGGAGAGGAATGAGGGAGCGAAGCAGCGCGGAGGAGGAGGAGACCCCCCCCCCAAAACACACTATAATAATAACAATAACAATTAAAACAACAACTGAAGCCGTGCCGTTTTTTGTTGTTGATTTTTTTGTTGGGGGGTGGATGCAGGAGAAACAACAAGCTAGATTCTAGGGCAAGGAGTAGGAGGAGGAGGAGGAGGAGGAGGAGGAGGAGGAGGAGGAGGAGGGAGCGGAGCAGCGCGAAAGAGGAGGAGGAGCCCCCATATATATATATATATAGCTATATATATATATATTATATATATATATATGAATCGGCCGCGCCGCGTTCCTTTTTTTTTTTTTTGGGGGGGGGGGGCATTAACAACAACACATTCGATTCTGGGGGAAGAAAGAGGAGGAGGAGAAGGAGGAGGAAGATGAAGAGGAGAAGGAGAAAGAGGAGGAGGAGGAGGAGGACAGAGGAGGAGGGAAATGAGAAGCCGACACACCTTTCTAAAGGCGTGCGACTCCACAATCCCCCGTCCTCGATGAGGAGGAGGAGCAGGAGGAGGAGGAAGAGGAGGAGGAGGAGGATGAGGACGAGGAGGAGGATGAGGAGGAGGAGTCGGAGGATGGGGGAGGGAGGGAAAGGGAGGACCCCTCCTGCCTTTGCCTCCGCCTTGGCCCCCCCCCTTCTGCTCCCGTGCCCAGACCACGGCGGCGCCGCGGGCGTGCTGAAGCGGCTCGAGGCGGCGGCCGCGCGGCCCGACCGCCCGGGGGGTCCGTGGGCTTCCCCCGCCGCCGCGCGGAGATCGAGGGCCGTGCGCGTACAGCGGAAAGCCATTCCAGAGAGCACGCTGCTTGGCTTCAGGGTGCCAGTGTGTTTCTTGGGTTTCGATGGTCTTGCGAATGAAAGCGTGACGCTCCCGCACTAGAAATCCAGGGACGCCCCGAGTTTCCAGGGTCGGGTTTCTTGTGGAAGGTTCCTTGTGGTCGGGCTCCTACTGTGTGTGTGTGTGTCTCGAGCCGGCGCGCGCGGGCTCCGTCCGGGAGCTCGGCCGCTGCATTTCGACCTTGCTCCGCCTCGTCGCTGTGCGCGAGGCCGCGACCGCCAGAAAGTGCAAAAAGTGTGTGTGTGTGTGTGTTTGTGTGTGTGTGTGTGTGTGTGTGCGTGTGTGTCTGTGTGTGTGGGTGTGTGAATCTTTTCCTCGTTTTCTGGCCGCTGCATGTTTGGACACAGTTCTTCCAACACGCTCATCGCTTGCATGTTGCAGTGCGCGACGCTGCGTACGCTGCGCCTTCGACGACGCTCGATCGCAATTCGGACTTCCATCTGCTGCTCGCGCTTGAGGACCCTGTGCGCCGTTGACTTCCAAGTATGTGTGTGTGTGTTCTGGCAGCCCCCAGTCTGATCAGTCCGAAGCCGCCCCGCCGCCACCTTTCCTGACGGCGTCCGGCCTTCCATTCGCCCCTTGCGGTAGTCCACTGTCTCCTTTCGTCTACGTCTGCTGCACCTGCTTGTCCTGTCCTGCCTTTCCACTCGCCCCCTCCGGTTCTGCCTTTGCCGCCGCCGCTGCGCCTCGCCTCGTCCTGTTTGCCCTGTCGGTGTTGGCCTTGCGGCACCTCCTCGTCCTGTCTGTGCGTCTCTTCCCCCCGCAGCCATGGCCCGAGTGTAAGCGTGACGCGGCTGATCCCCTCGGGTAGATCCCTGTCCCTGGCGTCTGAGTGGGCCGGCCGCGCGCGTTTCCTGCCCGCATTCTCGGACCTCCTAGGCGCCGACGCAGCGCGCGAGGCCGCGACATTGGTTGTGTTGGGTGCGCGACGCGGCGAGACTGCTAAAAACATGCAACCTGCACGAGGTACACAGCAGTGATTTTGGCTTCTTGGGGCCCTCCTGGGTGTCGTCGTGGAGCTCTCTTTCGGGGCGTCTCGGAGGCCTCTCTCTGGCCGTTCGGGGTCCGTCCTGGGCCATCTCGGAGCGCTTTGTCCTGGGTTACTTTTGAGAGCCTCTTGTTTTTTCTAGCTTTCTGCATCCCTCCTCCGAAATCAAGCGCGATTTTTCCCTCGACGTGGCGGCGCCCCACGTGCCCCAAACTTTGATGGCTCACACCGAAATTGTCAGGCTATAAAGCCTCGGCATTGAATCCTGGGTGGCTTTCGAAAGTTCTCGGCGGAAGAAGCGAGCCGCATGTGCACGAGCAAAAACAATTTTGAATTTTGAAGCGAATCTGTAAGCTGCGGCGATGGGGCGGCCGAGTTTGGGCCCCGAGTTTCGGCTGCGTTTGCAGGGCAATTGTCCTCGTCAGCAACGCGCGCGGCGAAACTTTTTCTGAGGGAGCTTTTCGGGGTCTCGCGAAAATCCCCTCGGGCGCGTCGCGGCTGCCGCCCGGCGCTGGCCGTTGCCGCCCGTCGTCGCGCAACCGCTGGTCGGGGCTGCCCTTGTCGCGCGGACTGCTCTTCGCGCTGGGGCCGCCAGGCGGGGCGCCCAACCCCGAACTTTTCTAGTCGTTTCCATGGCCACTGGCGCGCGTTTTCGTGACGTGGGGCGCGCACCATACACCTTTTCCCCGCGGCGACGCGCGCACTTTCGCTCGCATGCCCGCGCGCGCCCGCGTCTTCGTGTCGCGCGCGTTCGGACATGATCGCTTTTCATTTTCCAAGAAGCAGAAACAAATCCTCACAATGCTTGCTGAGACCTGGCAGCCTGAAAATTGGCGACTGCAAGCACACAAATCTGACCCCGTGGGCCGCGTTTTGCGCTTCGACCGACATCAAAAACTTGCGTTTGACTGCGGAAATGGTTGTGGTTCAAGGCGAAATCATGCGATGCACCCCAGAAATCATTCGGGCTTCCCTTGGGTTGACTTTTTCTACAGTGCGGAGGGGATGACTTCCATTGTGTCTGCGCCTTCTGGGCCAGGATCCCTCATCAATTACGTTGCGTCCTCGTTCCTAGGGCCAGGATCCTTTGTAAATTATCCGGCGTCCGCAGTCGCAGGGCCACGATTCCTTGTAAAACAGCGGTCCGGCCGCACTCCCAGAACCACGTGGTCATCCTGGGGCGCCCAGGCCTTTCACGCGCACGTTGCAATACAGGAAACCACTGCCGGCAGAGCCAGGAAAAAGGAGTGAGCTCAACCGTGCCAAACAAAATCCGTTGCTGAGTCTCCACAGCGCCTTGCGACACGACGTAATGGCACCCTGGAGGTTGTTTTTCCTCTGCCTAGATCGTTGTGGCGCTCACGTGCTGAAAATACATCTGCGCGCAAGGCCCACCCAAGCGGCACGCACCAGCCTCAATGCGCAGCAATGTCGCCCGGTTATAGAATCAAACCGCTGACCAAAAATGCAGGCGGGGATTGCCAGTGGCAGCCGCACCGCCAGATCCGCCCGCCATGGGAACTCCAGGAAGAAACGTCCGATGTGGCACCAGCCAACCCTGATGAAACATAGGGCTGAACGTCGGGCTGGGCGCGGGCAGGGCCGTCGGGAAGTGCGTCGGGAAGGCCGCCAGGTAGGGCGTCGAAAAGGCCGTCACATAGGGCGTCGAGAAGGCCGTCGGGTAAGGCATCGAGGAGGCCACTTGGAAGGCCCCGGATGGGGCCTCGGGAAGCCGTCTTGTAATGCGCGGGGAAAACTGTCGGGAAGGGCGGCGTGAAGGCCTCCGGGATGGCGGCGGGAAGGCCTCCTGGAAGAGCGTCGGGTTGGGCGTCGGGTTCGGCTTCGGACTTTTGTGCGGCCCGCGCGGCAGTGTTTTTTCCCAGTTGGCTGAAGCTTTTCGCTGTTGCTCCACCAGCGAATCATGGAACAACGCGTTTAAAGCCTTCCGACCCTCGTATACCGTTCATAAACATGTTCATGCTCTATGACACATCACACTCCCAGATGCTACATGCAGTGCTCTGTTCTGCGCTGTCTTGGAATGCATGTATGTGTGTGTGTGTGTTGTGTGTGTTGTGTGTGTGTGTGTGTGCGTTGTGTGTGTTGTGTGTATGTGTGTGTGTGTATGTGTGTGTGGGTGTGTGGGTGTGCGTGCGTGCATGTGTGCGTGTGTGTGTGTGTGTGTGTGTGTCTGTGTGGTATGATGATCCTGTGGCCGCCAATTCGCACCAGACTGTTCGCGCCTGAGTTCGTTTCGGGTTGAGTCGCCTTCTCGGTTTCTGGGCGCTGCACTTTTCGCTTTGATTTGCATCTCCTCCTTCATACCACCGATCGCTACATGAACAGCGTGCACGCTTTGTACGCTGTGCTGTCGACAGTGTTCGATCGAAATAATCACTTCCATCTGCTTCTCGCGCCTGAGGATCCTTTGTGCCGCTGACTTAACTATGTATGTGGTGTGAGTGTGTGTTGTGCGTTTGTGTGTGTGTTGTGTGTGTGTGTGTTGTGTTGTGTGTGTGTGTGTGTGTATGTGTGTGTGTTCGTTTTTTTTTTTTTTTTTTTTTTTTTTTTGTGTGTGTGTGTGTGTGTCGGGTGTACGTGTACGTGTACGTGTGCGTGTGCGTGTGGTGTGCGTGTGCGTGTGTTCGTGTGTGTGTGTGCGTGTGTTGTGTATGTGGGTGGTGGGTGGGTGGTGGGTGGGTGGGTGGGTGGGTGGGTGGGGTGGATGGGTGTGTGGGTGGGTGTGTGGGTGCGTGTTTGTGTTCGTGATTGTGTGTATCTTGTGCTTGTGTGTATGTGTGTGCGTCTGCGTGTTTGTTCGTGTGTGTGTGTGTGTTTGTGCGTGTGTGTGAGAGAGAGAGAGAGAGAGAATGCACATGCACACATCGATATACATACACATATAATTATGCATACATATGGACATACGGTCCTACCGCCTCTGAGCCACAGCTCCTTCTACCTCAAACAGGCTCGAGACTCTGTATCTGTCTACAAGGTCAGGCGCGGCCTCATTGCCGCAAGTCCATATCTTATCCTTCCTGTCGGCATTCCTCCTCCTCCTCCTCCTCCTCCTCCTCCTCCTCCTCCTCCTCCTCCTCCTCCTCCTCCCCCCCTCTTCCTCTCAGTCGTTTAAGCGCATACGCGTAAACTTCACTTCCTCCTCTTCCTCCTCCTCATGCTTCTCTCTCTTCCTCCTCCTCCTCGTCATCGTTCTTCTCCTATTCTTCCTCCTGCCAATCCTGCCTTTCCCCTGACCCTCGAGAGATGCAGACGAGAAGCAGGGGCCACCGCCACCGAGAACCCGTCGGGGCAGACGAGACGCAGGGACCACCGCCACCGAGAACCCATCGGGGGGTGGCCGACCCCTGGGCGGGGAGGGGGGAGGAGGGGGTTAGGCCGCAGCTACAGGGGCCTAGGTACCAGGTCGCCCAATATCCTCCTTTCCTCGTGTCCTCCCGCCTCTCGGCCTGCCTTCTTCTACGTAGGCGCCCCTGTGCCTTCAGGATTTCGTAACTTTTTGTGCCTTTCCGCTCGCTGACAGGACATGCGGACCGATGCGTGCACCCGTGCACCCGGACTTGCAAGGCCGCCTGCGATCCGACTCGGTGCGGTTCGATTCGCTGGCCAGGGCTGCGATTCCGATCCGATTCGCTTCGGCCCGATTCGCAATCACTGGCTCCAGGCCAGCTGGGGCCGGGCATGACGATCCGAGTTCGATACAGTGGGAGGCCACGATTGGGCTCTGCGCTTCACTGTTGGGCCCATGGTGATCTCGTCCTTCACGGGTGGAGAGCTCCCCGCAGTGAGGAGTGGTGGTCGTAGGGACTTTGACGAGGGTGTATGGCTGATGCGCTCTCCTCTCCTC